TGCCTGAAAAAGCCAAAACATATACTTCATCGATAATTATATAATAAACAGAATATTACATGGGTGCGCGGAGATACGAAATTTATCTTCTCGTGTTGAAAATCTCTCACGAGTGAGCTGCGCTCACTTGTGAGAGATCTTTTCAACACTCGAATATAAATTTTGTATCTCCGTGCACCCATTTAATATCCTCTATATATTTGCTATACTACCACACTGTCTTATACAGGGTAGAAATGTAAAATGACTGCAAATCTAGCATTATAGAAGAGTTATTTTGAAAGGGTGGTGATTGTGCAGAGGGGGAAAAAGGTGGGGCAGGGGGTTAAGGACCTGTCTTAGATTTAAGTATCAACTTTGTCCACTTGCCAAAGGCAAACAACTTGATCCTACCATAAGTCACATAGACCTCAAAAGAATAGCAAAGTATTCAAAGATCCCCTTCGATGATCTTTGGAAAAAGCTTAGAAAAATAAAAGTCCTTCATAATTTCAATATTGTCTCTCCAGCTCTCATCTCTCTTGATGGTTAGTGTAATATTGTCTTTCAATTTCCAAACCATAAAATAACAAAACATCCTTCCAGTCAAAAACATCTGCCCTTGCACTTGATGCCAGTAAATGTGGTCCTTCTTGAGAATGACAGTTCCATCATCCAGTTTTGATAGGAAAAGTTGTCTGATTCAAGCCCCTCTGATATTGTAGAATTCCTTTGGGTATATGGACATTTAGCTTCAAATACTCCATTCCTTCCAATCAAACCATCAGGAGAACATACATACGTACATACATACATAGTTTATTTGTTAAAGCAGGTTAATAAAATTGGCAAGACTAGAGTCCTGATGTGGACCTGCATACTAATAAAATTTACAAATATAAAAATATATTATATATATAACTTACTATTATCATTACGAAACACATATAAGCAATATCTAATAAAATTCATATAATGAATAAAATCATAGAGAATTTAAAGTTAATTTCAATTAATATCCTAGTGATATGACTAAAACATCTTAAACTGAATTTATAAATAATTTAAAAGTAGACAAAATCATCATTTTTACTCGCGATCATGCATGATTCCTTATTATACGTTATTATATTTAGGGTGTTCTTGTTTTTCTTTAGTTCATTTCTAAAACATGATACACTTGTAGCTCCCTTGATATGGTCCGGAAGAGAGTTCCAAGCTACTGCAGCTCTGTGCTTAAACGTTAGTCTTCCAACTTCAGTTTTAGGTCTTGTAACTTTAAGATTAAGTGACTTTCTCAAGTTGTATTTATGGTCAGTCTTCTCAATTAAGTTGTTAAGGTGCTCATTGTTAAGTCCATGATACGATTTATAAGTTATAGTCAGGATCCTTTTGGTGTAGAAATATGAGATTGGGGACCAGCCCTTTAACTTCTTGACATCATCTATGCTGGCATCCCTCTGCAGATTGTAGATTATCCTTGCAGCTCTTAGATGGATACGTTCTACTTCCTCCAACAAGGCTGGGGAGCATGAACCCCATATTGCAACCCCATATAGGACACTTGGAATAATAGTCTTGAAATAAATAGTTTCTAAAATGGATTTGGGAAGAAATTTGATCCGTTTCAATATAGCAAGTTTCTTGTTGAATGCGTTACAAACAGCTTTGATATGATCATTCCAAGATAATTTGTGATCAATAGTTAGACCAAGGCACTGCGATGTTGATTTGTACTTGATTATATTCTGCCCATACTTTAAGAGTGGCAAGGGACCAATAAAACTATGCTTTGATAACAGTAAAGCTTCAGATTTTGTCTCATGGGCAGTCAGCCTATTTGAAGTACACCAAGCATAGACCTGATCTAAGATTGATTGTAGAGCCAGGATAATGCTGTCTATGTCCTTGCCAATAGTAAAAATTGTAGTATCGTCAGCAAACATAAACAGTTCCCCATTAGTAATAGCTTCTGGAAAATCATTAACGTAAATAGAAAACAGTTTAGGGCCTAATATGGATCCTTGTGGTACCCCATATTTTATTATTCTTGACTCAGACTTTTCCCCACATAGCTGTACAAAATGGTGGCGACCAGATAGGTAGTCAGTAAACCAGGACAGCAAATTCCCTGATACACCCACTGCTTTAAGCTTTTCCCGTAGAATGGAATGGTTTACAGAGTCAAAAGCTTTTCTAAAATCAATGAAAAGCACACCTACTTTTAGCCCTTCGTCTAAGGCTTCCTTCCAGGTTTCTGTTAGGTGGAGTAGAAGACCCTCAGTAGAGTAGTTTTTGCGAAATCCCCATTGATTTTGACTTAACAGACCTTGAGAATCTATATGATTGTCCAGAGTGCTGCTAATTATATCCTCCAAGATCTTTCCTGGGATGTTAAGGAGGGAGATGGGTCTATAGTTGTTTACATCAGTTGGTTTACCTTTTTTGAATATAGGATTGACATGAGACAGCTTCCAGTTAGAAGGGTAAGTAGCTTCATCAGTGCTTTTCTTGAAGATAGGTAACAAGCTATGGACAACTGAATCACCAAGCAGCTTGAGATCCTTAGGTAATACAAAATCTGGGCCAGAAGCTTTCTTGGGATTTGCAGCTTTGATTACCTTTTGTTTGACAATATCCCAGTTCAGCTCAATACTACTTATTGTTGGAGTAACCCTATTAACATGAGTTTTTAGGAGTGAACAATCCAGTGGGTCCAGGTTTTTAGTGAGGTTTTCACTAATATTCACAAAAAAGTCATTAAAGTGTTCTGCTTTCTTGAAGTCATCAGTTATAATATCAGTGTTATTATCCATGATTGGACCAATGGCTCTAACTTTAGTTTTCCTAAGAACTTGATTTGTTAATTTCCAAAATTCTTTTGGATTTTTAGACTCCTTAAAAAGCTTGTGCCAGTAGGTAGCTTCTGCCTTCTTCAACAGTTTCTTGACTTCATATCTCTTGTTTTTGTAGAGTCTCCATTTGTCTTGATCACCTGATGTCTTTGCTTCTTTTAATAATTTGTATCTTTGATTCATTTGCTTCCTAATGGAAGAGTTGATCCATGGCAGGGATTTATCTCTGATCTTGACATCTCTTGATGGTAGGTGTTGATTTAAGACATCTCGATCATCGATCTCGATCATCTCTCAAAATCATATTTTAATTTATTTTTGACCACTGACTTATAATCCTTTGTTGGAATGACTTTTGGTTTGGCATTACTCCTTGCAACTTTTATGACAGCAAAAATCAGATGATGATCAGAAGTACCAAGATCAACAGAGCCAGAATTTTGGACTTTTGATGGCTGGCTAGTAATGATGAGATCAATTAAAGATTTTGAGTGGGCTGTGATGCGAGTTGGACTGTTTATAACATTCGTAAGATTAAAGCTGCGCATGATATTCTTTAGTCGTCTTCCAAGGTTAGACTCATTGTTACCCGAATTACTCAGCAAGTAGAAGCGCCAAGGACTCCAGAACTATCAAGCCATATTCCAGTTTCCTGTACTTTAAGACCAGTAGACTTTTCAAAGGCTTTAACTGCTTCACTTTCGTTATGCACTCCCCAAGTGACAGCCTTTACTCTCGAGAGATCATATTCTCCAAGAAGACGTTTGATAAGGGATGGAGTTACACGCTTGGCGTTTAGAACAGATCCGAAATTGCTTGCTGTTAAACGACCCTTCCTTATCATGTAATGATGAAAAGGTAAATTATACACCGTGAAAAGATGAAAAAACTTACTGACGTTTCGGACGCTAGTCCTTCGTCGGAGTAAAAGAGCATTCCTTATCATGTGCCAAGCAGGGTTGTCTCGCTGCCCAGTTGTCAAATTGCTTACCTCGACGATTTGGTCTTGCATCAATTTGGCGTTGTCGATCAAGTAAGCAATCTGCTCATTATTGCCTTGAGTGTTGAGGAATTCTTCGGAAAAGATAATGTTCTCAATTGATTTTATTGGTAAAGGAGGCGAAGTAGGTTCTGGGCTCATGATCCAGAATAGACCAGTAAATCTTCCGTATGCTCTTAAGTCTTCGTATAGAAGATTACGGTCCATTTCGGTCGTTGCTCTCGATATTGCAGCATATGTTTTCGGCTTCGGATACATTTCTGCTGCTGACTTAACACTTTCAATAGTCTTTCTTATTTTCCATTAGTATTCGATGTCCGTTCTGCTCAAATAATATATGCCTTGTATAAAAGAGCAGCAGCAGCATGACTGCACTTGAATTCCCCTCGCGGACATTCGCATTCCGTGGACTTTATTCCAAAATTGACATCTAGATATACCTGGGAAATCAAACATTTAGTTATACATTCAATGTTTTTTCTATCTTAATAGATTATTCATAGCGTTTACTTGCATTTGCTTGCGTTTACTACTGTCTTTGAACGTTTAACCAACTATACCAAGACTTACTGTAACTTTGTAGACTTTTTTCTTCATGCTGGCATGAACCTCACCACGAATTATCCTCTCATCGTAATAAAAACTCTCTACATGACTTGACTTGTAATGGTTTTCGCCTCTTTGAATTGATTTCTTTTCTTCTCCAAAGAAATTTAACAACGAATTGATTGAAAGCGACGCCATCTTGAATGTGGTAGAGTTTGTTTAGAGCCGAAAATTTTTGTCGCTAGGCAACGTGACGTCACCATTAAGGACTCAATGTCAACGGCTTTCTATCCCAAGTATAAACCTCCTCCCCTCCCCCTCCCCCAAAGGCTTCCCATCTCAAGATCACTGAAGCGTAAACGAAAATATAAAACTCGAGTTGAAAATTTACGAGGTCGAGTTCGAAATATGATGCGGTGAATCCGACTTGAGATTTGACGGGGCGAGTAAAAATGTTGCCCATTGATGTAAGATACAAAAGAAGAGTTATAAATTCTCGAACGCTGTATAAACTTGCATGTCGAATTTAAAAGATGAATGTAGGATACAAAACTTGCATGTCGAATTTAAAACATGAATGTAGAATATAAAACTTGAATGCTGAAGTTAAAAAACTTGAGTGTAAAATTCAAAACTTGAATGTCGAGGGTAAAATTTGTATGTTGAATTTGAAACTTGAATGTCAAATTCAAGGCACGAATTTTGGCGGGGATCGTACGCCATAAATTACATCTTCATTTTATCCCTGTAGTAAGTGTTGTGATCGATGATTGTTCTGATGGGTGTGATTCTTCGATTGCACGTTACGTCATCGCGGCCATGTTGGTGCCATTTAACAAAAGATTTCTTATTAGCATCCATTGTTAACGGCACCACAATGGCCGCCATGCTTTTGTCTTTTAATTCTCTCGGGAATGCTTGCAACCCATCAATTGGGAACAGTTGAATTACCATTAACCAAAAATAACAATCTTAATAAAATTAAACGATTTTAAAAAACCTCAAACATTGTCGATTATGAATATGAGTCACAATTTTAAAAAAAGATACAGAGAAAGTAAAGCTTGTGAAGTCGAAATAAAGTACGTACAAACGTACGCTCTGTTTTGCTTTCATTTGTCTTGTTCTAATTTTATCTCTTTGTTTGGTTTCCTTTGTGTATTTCATTGTAATCAGTTTTTGTCGATACTTTGCATATTCAACTTAGTAAGATAGCCCTAAAAAGCCTTTCCATAAATAAACTGAAAATCGCGAAAGCAGCAACAGAAAAGAGTTCTGGACTGGATGCTAAGCATTTAAGCTGTTTATACTTTGTTAATTTCATTTCTTTAGTATAAAAATTGTGGTATTTTATCATCGTAGGAGCATCTATCTTGTGTCCCATTGTTGTAGAAGTTATAAGATCACAAGCTGATCTTGGTTTGATGCGAAATTGAAGGTTAAAACCAGGCATCTTTGTAGCTTCAAATCCTAATTCATTCGCCACGACACCCAAGTAAGCATCATCAGCATGAAAAGGCTTTCGACCGAATCTCGTATAATTGAAAAATCGTGGAAGGATATCAGTAGAAAGCACGTGAAAAGCTCCATGACAAAACGGTGGCAAGTACCTTTTTTCATACTGTTCTTTCGAAAGAAACCATTTGCTCTTTGGGTCGCGTACAGTCCACTGATCCAAGCCGACATATCCTCCATAAAGCCTGTTAGGAGCGCCAGCTCGTTCTAGCCACTGTAAAAGCCTTGGAACTCGAACATAAACATCATCATCTGTTTTTAAAACATACCTACATGAAGGGAATTTCGAGGTTATCCAGTAGTGAGACATAAATGTCTTTAATATCAAACTTTTATAATTATCTGTGAAATTCCCAATGATTACATCATTGTTTCGCAATGCTTCTTGTAGATTCATTTCATGTTCGATTTTGTTTTCACTGATCCCCAGAACGAAATATACTTTCCAAGTCTTGTTCCTGTACTCCAACGTTGTTGGATTTCCCGAATTTCCCCATGTTTCTCGTATAGCTTTCCTCAGCCCACGATATTTGTGCCCTGTAGCAGCAGAATTTACTACGACTGCCAGATAGATATTCGGGTCTGTCGAACTAATATTTGGCTCAACAAAAGGCAGATGCAGGGAAAATTCTGGCCAGACGACGTTTGGACTAGGAGGTGAAGGTAATATTTGACTAAATAAGAAGATTGTTATAGCACAAAACGAAACCAAGGTTAGGACTCGGCTCTTTCTGAAATTCCTGCACAACCAACTAAGAAGGACAAACACCTTCATTGATCACCAACTTGAAATTGACGAAGGCCTTCAAATCATTTCTCATTCAAAGAGCTARCGAGAAGACCAAATTCGTATTGGAAAAACGGAAGAAAACGCTGAAATCTCTAGTGGAGTTATATCAATAAACAAACATAAAGCATGAGTGAAACGATGAAGCCAGTTTTCACACAGCAGGGATGCTTGCAATAGACACAGGGAGCCCAATTTAGATATAACTGAAAAGTGAAAATATGTAAATGAAATCGGGGGAATTTTTCAATTATTAGTTTTATCCGAGACAAGAGAATATGAAGTAAGAGAGCATTTAACAAATCGCACATAGATTTCCATTGTCTGTCCTCTTATTGATCATAGATGACGTCTTAAAATGTTCAAAACTAAAGTGAAACCACGAGCGCAGCGAGTAGTTTCACTGTAAAGTTTTGAAAATTTTAAGACGTCATCTATGATCAATAAGAGGACAGACAATGATGGAAATCTATGTGCGATCTGTTTTTTACAACAAACTGCGAAATGTTTACAAAATAAAATGAGCGAAAAGTTTTTCGAAAATTTGTCATTCAAGGAAAGCAAGGCGATAGACCAAACAGCTCCGATTATTGTGAGCTTTTGAATATTTTCGCTAAGATGGTAGTTTTCATAACCATTAGAGGACAGAGTACAGAAAGTAAGACGAAGGTTTTTCGGTTATTTACTTTTGAAAACTTCAAAGGTTATTTTATAACTTACAAAATATTTTTTCATAAAACACGTCAACATTTCACAACAAACTTCCTACACTGTGATTGGCTAATTTTGACAGTTCTTTGACATCCACTGTAAAAGAATGCTTGCTATTGGTCAAAACTTTTGACATTTACTTATAAATGGCTTTTTTTAGCTAAGTCGAAAAGAGTTTGAGTCAGAACTCAAAGGTTCTAAAAAACAAAGCTTAGTAATAAGTTCAGCTAAGAAAAGCAATGTCAATTTCGCTTGACAACATTAGACATTCAAGTTYTGGATGGAGCAGCCATTGAAGATCGACTCTGGAATGGCACTTGACACAAGCTCATTCAAGTCTTTTCTTCGCACTCGGTTGCAAAGCGAGATGAATTTTTCACGTCTTCCTCTATCTTTTCTGCCTCCAGAACTAAATATTCGTCGGCAAGACTATCAGCAAGATTAAATTCAAAGTTTGGTTTCTCTTTTGGTTTCATTGACGACTTTTATTAGCAAAATAAATTCGCAAAATCACAGTCCTTACGATAAAATCCTACCGGCGAGTCTTGGTTTCAAAAACATTACGTCATCCATGTGTCTGCCCTCTTATTAATCATAGCTCTCAGCCAATCAGAATGTGTTATTTACGTGAGTTGTTGTAAAAATCCCTGTGACCCATGAAAGTTTCTTGAAAATCTATTTTTAGCTCCGCGCGCAAACCTGAGCTATTTTAGCATGCGATTGATTCTAGTGATGTCATGGGTACACAAGAGTTAGGCAGTGACCAAGCAACTCCAAACTAACAAACTCCAAACTAACCAAACTTTATTCAATTTGACGAGAAAATGTGTTTAGAGGAATTCCTTGAGAAATTCTGAAAGGTTTTTGAAGGAATCCATAAACAGCACATGTGAAAAATACTCAGTTGAGACAACATCATTCAAGCATGTTTTTAAATCAAAACAATGGCCGCTCGCCGATGGAGACTCATAGTTTTGGAGTTGATTGCAGTTATAGATGAGACTGTAAGTTATACCACAATTCTTCACCTAAACTTAAATACAGTTAATATTGCTGTATCCCAAGAACACGTACTTCTAAACTGAACTTCAGTGTTTTCAAAATGACAAATTATCTAATGGCATCTAAAATGAAGGCACATTGGACTCGTTTACGAAAGAGCCGGATTTTCGATGAATAAACTTGTTGAATTCACTGAGTCTAAAGTTTAAAAAACTTTAAACTCAGAAAGAAAATTTAGCATTTACTGTTGAAATCAGTTGTTTACCAGTAAGAAGAAGAGGTTTTAAGATAGCTGAAAACAGTCAAGGTGCTTGGAATGGAAGAATTAAACATAAAGACACAAATACGCCGAACTGAGATCTGGAGGAAAATATCGCGATTAAAATGCTCTTCAATCAGGTAAAAATAATCTCTTTTTTATTAGTTTGAATCCTCAAATACTAAGTTTGATTCACTTTTTGTACTTGGCCGATATCGTGGTTGTATTTCTATTGTCTGTTGGGGACTTTAGAGTTTGAAAGTTAGGAAAAAAGTGTGTGAATAAATTGGATTGAATTGAACGTTGAGGCGGAGCTAAAATTCATGGTGCAAAATATGAAATCAAGATCTAGTTTTAATAGTCGAACTTTTTCATTAATTTACCTCTTCTCAATGGGCAATGTCTTTTGCATAAAGTGACATACCGTATTTTGGCAAGCTAATCATATTAAATAACTGTAAAAAATCATTTCAGTGCCTCTAGTAGTTTTTTACTCTGTGAAAACAGAAGTTTTTCTTTGGCACAGTTCAGTGCAAGTTTGTTCTGATTCGTGTTTGAAACAAAATACTGGTCTTGTTCATCGTCTTCTAAATCACTTTAACTTAACTAAGAAAACACTACGATAAATGCTTTTTTTCCTGTCTTCACTGTAGGTTATTCGCTATTTTCATCGCATTTTTTATCGCAGTTTTCTTCCCCATGACGTCTTCGCTGTTTTCAGCTTGTTCGTATACTGAAAATCATCCTTATATTTGATCTTTTTCGATGTTCTTTTACATCAATTGTTAACATCGGGCAGAATTCTATTGTTCTAGGCGACATGAACTTACAGTTGAGTTATTTTCAAAGATCGGTATAATTTCACGAATACGTTATAGGATATGCATCATTAACTTATTTTCCCTAACACTGATTGGCTACACCAAAGACAAAGACCTGTCAAACGCAAGTGATTAACAGTATTAAACTCCCTTGAGTCATATCAGGGTAAACATTTTGATTGGCATCACTATATAGTTAATGATAATTATTTTTGATGTGACTAGGAATACTCGTGATATCGCAATCGACTTCATCGTGTTTTACTTGACAACCGATTAGGGTTTTCCGATTTAGTGACCTTTTCCTCGATTTGGCAATATCTTTATTGCCATGCATTGTCTTTTTTTCTAAGTATTTCATAACAATAGAATTCGGAAAGAATAGAGGCGAGAAAAATTAACTTCCATCATCGTTACCGCGAAAAATTATAAATTTTCCCGGGGGGGATTGGAACCAGTTTCTGACGGAGGGGTTCCGCTGGAGGAAACTCTTGAAAATCCGGCATACCCTATTCAAGACAAATTGGCAAAATGTAGACCCTATCCAAGGCTCAAGGGGAATTTGTATACCCTATGTGAAGACATTCAACTATAATTACTCTAGAACCATCATAAATGAATTGTGCGTAATTTTGTGGAGTATTATGCAATGAATGAGATGTTGACATAGCCAGGTAGTGATCCCGTAGAGATGTCAATATGTTATTGTCATTCGTTTTGACTTTATGTTCTATATAAGAAACGGTGGAGGGAAAGGTTGATTGTTGTCATGTTGAAAAAGAACATCCAGTACAGATAATATTGATGTCAACGTACAGAACAGAAAATACGGAAACGGAGGAGGTGGATTTCTGTTCGGCATCTTTTGAGCGAAATGAATAAATGAAAGCTTCATAGGTTAAAACACTGATCATTTCTCATACCAAAACATGATTGTGTTACGCTCGCATGAATACTGATTTGAGAAGAATAAGAACGTGTGTTTGTTCGTAATGAATTAATCAATGCCTTTAGAATTCTAAACACGTTGCTCGAGCTCAGTACGCATTATCAAGGGTGAAAGGTGAAATTTGAGAAGAAAAAGGTGTTTTTGTTTTTGCCTTTCTGTGTGATCTAACAATCCCTTAATTAATTAATCAATGCTTTAGAATTATAGACACAGTTTTCTCGAACTCGTCATGACCATCCTTTTTTTGAAAAGAACCTGTGAAGTATTCACGCTATGAGTATATAAATATGCCCAAAGTTTGAGAATGGCCACATTGACTTCAATCCGCATAAAAGTACTCTAGATGGAAGAAGACAATATTTTTCTACGAGCTGCTCTCACCAAAGAACTTAACTTCAAGAAGTTCCATGCCCGAGTTCAAGCACTTTCCCTACTGCGAGTACCATGTCTTTGCAGCAACGACACAAGCCAAAGCCAAAGCAAAAAAAGAGAAGTACACCAGTAGAGTTAATGCTAATTGGGAAAGGAATGAAAAAGTACGGAAGAGATTTAAAAGCCGTGGTTAGTTTCATGCAGAAACATTCATAGGTACTCGGGGACCAGCTACGAGATTACTACCAGAATATTGGAACACCAGAAGGGCCAAGCACAA